GCCTCTAGGACTGGGGAGTGCTGCTGTATGCCTTACTGTGTCCCCGGTGGAACAGTCCTGATGAAGAGCAGAATAAGAACAATCGGGGGAATCCAGGTAAAATTTAATAAATTTTCAACACAAAAAGTTATTTTTTAAACTACTTGAGTATATATTTAAAAGCTGTAAAAACCAGTAAGAAAAGTTAATTGTTAGGTTTATCAATTTTTTTATTTTAACTTCCATGTTCATTAGTAGTTAGGTAAATTAGATATTTTATTTGTCCATCTCGGGTTTATTTATAGGGATCAGCCTGTAATGACTGTTTGGTGTTGTCGTTCTGCGGTGCATGTGCAGTGTGCCAGATGCAAAGGGAACTCGACAACATGGGAGTCTTATAAAAGCTGTGTCACCTTGACATTTTTAAAAAATATTTTCATCAAATTTAAAAGTTAATATGACGTCAACCTGAATACATCCACATCTTTTATGGATTAACAAAGCTATCTAACTATAGAGTGTATTCGTTCATCTTTTTTTTTTCGCATTATACTTCAGATGCCTAGTTTTAACGATTCCTCTTCACTTGTCAATATCGCTCTTGGTTACTACATGTTGTAAGTTTGCTATTTTCAATTTTCTGGAATATTGCTTGTCATATTTGACATATGTGGTGGGGCCCTCACCTTCTTAGCTTCTTAGATTACCATTTTAATAAAATATCCAAATTTTTCAAACTTTGTGGAGTTTTTTATTTCTAGAAAAAATGTCGAATGAACAAAGAGATAAAAGAAAAATTATCAATGGAAAAAAGTTTAATATAATTTTACCGAACATAAATGTGGAAATGAATCCTATGCAAGTTTCCTTTTTTTAAAATTCATGTGAAGATTTTGAAGAATTTCTACCTCAGTTGAATACAAACGAGATGTTTGGTACTATGACGTAGCAAGTGTAATGGGATATGTTAGCCTAACTTACATTGTTTGTAGCGTGTTTTCCAGGATTGGTGAGTGTTACTGTATGATGTTGATATCAACAACCAGTAAAACAAATTAAAACTTCTGAGAAGGCTAAATAAGTTTGTTCAAATAATGAGCCCGGCTCTAGAGAGGACATAACTTTGCGTAGAAGAATGAATGAAAAATCACAACAATGTTATCAAGAAAAAAACATTTTAAGTCATAATTATATGAAAGAATTCTCAGCTAGTGACTATTCAAGCTTGATCAAATCATACTTCCTCTTTTGCTTTTTGAACTTGTGGAGCTGCAGACTAGTTGATTTATGATTCTGCATTTTAAATATTATTATAATTTGTAATATATTGAAAATCTAGAAAACGAAATATTGAAATAGTACTTTATTTTTAAAAAATGATTATTTTTAAAGATTCATGAGGTTATGAACAACGACGCTTCACGCCGGTGGCATTTTTCATGAAACACATTAGCACTATTAAAAAGAATAGTTTTAAAATGTTCTACATTGAACCCTAGCGTTGCATTATCGTTAACATAGATTATCATTAAAATAGATTAAACTTATGACAAATTGACACCTCTACCATATTTCAATGAATTCGAAGAAATCTCTTCTTATATGTAAAAGAGATGTCAACTTTGCATATCTGCAATCCTTAAGATTCAATCTGAGCAGCGCTACTAGCTACAGACAAGAGTCGCACTAGGCGCAGTGGTAAGAGCCTTTGTTCTAATAGTCGATCGTGGAGTAAGGAATATATCCTAATGTCGCGGGTTCGAATCCAACTGTGGGACTTGAAGACCAGTCTTTCGGACGAGACACTATAAACAGGTTCCTTTGTAAGAGGTAGCACGGAAAATGTTCCTCTCTGCTAGAATCGGAAGTACAGGTATACAATTTGCAGCCCTCCACCAACAAATGAAATGTGGACACCACAATACCAGTGAAGATTTTCAAAAGCTAGACGCTAAATTAATTAAAAACTAAAACAAGAACAATTTTATTTATATACAACATAATGTAAAATAAACAAACTTTTATATGAAAAGTTAATGAAATTAAATTAAAAATTAAATCATATTAACTATATAGGTGTTTAGACGGTTAGATATTATAAATATTTTCCGATATACAATACAGTTTAATTTGTCCAATAATCAAATACATTCCTTAATCACAATAGTCACGATAGTAAAGGATGCAATAACAAACAATCACCAAACTTCATGTTATATTTAATCTGATTATTTATTCTTCTTCGGAACATTCTCTAATACAACTTTACTGACCTTTAAAATAAAGAATTTGTAAAATTAATGAAATTTTATCATAATATTACTCTGCTTATTAGTAAAAATGATTTAGTTAAAGATTATTTTCTCCATTACCTATAGATACATGAATCATACCTCCTTCCCGAACTCCAGAGACCTCTGCGTTTCATTTTGACAATCAATAGAAGGATTGGCATTTACAATCATTAGTGTTTTACTATTGCCTCCCAATGAATTTTTCATCAGGTATGTAAGTTTCGAATTTCTGTATGTTAAAGGATTCTATAAAATGGAAAGTGAACGTGCAAATATTATTTTAATAAAAATAGTGTAAAGTGTTCGTAATGCAAGATGGAAAAAAGAAAATAATATTGATAAACATATTTAGTTAAATGAAATAATATAACACAATCATGATCCATAATACAATAGACTGTCCCTTAGATTCTCAAAATAAAATATTAAATGACAGTTTTATTCATGCACTATTTGATACCCTTCCTTGATTATATCGTGCTCACTAAATACCAAAGACTGAATATTTTTCATTTTATTTATGGCAGACATAGTCTCTGGTTAGGATCTCAACCGCCAACAAAGAGGAATTCCTATTGTTTATCTTTGTAGAGAATTATTAATAATAGGTCAATAACCATCTAAAAGATCATGAGCATAAAACAGATGATATATAAAAGTTAAAATATTCCTTATATGACTGAAATAAAAGTGTTATGTCATTCAATAAAAATATTTACTGATAATAAGGTCAATTTTGCAAAAATTAATCAATTCACATACACTTTCGTTGATGATCATGAAACGCCACCAAATATATTTTTTCCTTTTTAATGTTTAAGGATATGTTTCTCTCTCTCTCTAAAAAATTACCTTTGATCGAAGACTACGTAAAATTTTAGTGAGTTCCAAAAGACTAAGGTTGATGTTTTTCGTTTCCTGTCCCGCAGAACTTGTCACAGAAGTCGTTATCTTCTCACTGCCAGCTAGATCTACTAGGGTAAGTGTACCTAATAAAAAATAAATCCCAAACAAAACCAAGGTAACCATGATGCTCAGAAGTAATAATCGCCATTGAAGTCATACCATTAATTATCAAAAAAAACATCAAGAAGTTCCGGGTGCACAAAGACCGGGTGTGACGGCAGGGGATGCTCACTTCTTCATGGCACCTAATCCCACCTCTGATGTTTCGGAGGTCCGTATTTGCTCTGGTCTTATTTTGTATATTGTTTAACGGACTTTGAGATTGAATACTGATGCACATTTTGATTTACGTATTAATAAAAACTGTATTAAAAATATGAGAGAACTGTGCAACAATATATTCATGAAGTGGTGTGAATCAGATTTGGATACTCAAATTTCCACTTTGGGCAATTTGAAATTACAAGATTTTACCAAAATCTACAGACTAAAAACATATGATCTCTCAACTTTATACACAAACATTCCCCACGATAAATTAAAGTCGAGGCTTTCTTATATTATTCACAGCTGCTTTTTTAATGAAAATGGAACCCGTAAATTTACTTATCTCGTCATTGGTCATTTGCAAAATTGTTTTTTTTAAACACATTCTGATTGCACACGTGCACACAAGTACTATGATGTTGATATCAAAGAGATGCTTGATTTTCTGATTGACAATATCTATGTGATTTTTGGAGACCAGGTCTTTCAACAGTCTATTGGAAATCCAATGGGTACCAATTGCGCTCCGTTATTAGCAGACCTATTTTTGTATTCATATGAAACAGAATTTTTGCAAAATTTTATACATGAAAAAAATTTAAGAAAACACTTGCGGTGGTCTTCAACTCGACATTTAGAAATATCGACGATATACACTGTATTGTCAATTAACAATGAAAATTTCTATTCCTATGTTAATTGGATATACCCTGGTGAGCTTTAAAATATCAATGTGGCTTTTGGAGACGAGGTATTTGAAAAATTATTTGAATTCCCATGGGTACCAATTGCGCTCCCGTTATTAGCAGACGTATTTTTATATTCATATGAAGCAGAATTTGTGCAAAATCTTATGCATCAAAAGAAGAAAACACTTGCTATGGCCTTCAACTTGACTTTTAGAGATATCGACGACGTATTGTTAATTTAAAATGGTAATTTCCATTCCTACGTCGATACCATATATGTTAATGAGCTTGAGATAAAGATATCACAGAGTCTGACACATCTGTTTCATACTTAGATATCTTACTTGAAAAGGACGTTAATGGTAGTCTAACAACAAAGCCATAAGATAAACGTGATGACTTTAATTTTTCTATCGTCAACTTCCCTTACTTATGCAGCAATATACCTTCATTATCTGTAAACGGAATTTATATATCTCTGTAGATTCGTTACGCAAGAACATGCTCTATGAACAATATTAAAATTGAGGTAAATGATTGACAAAATGTTGATGATACAAAAATATGAACAGTCTCATTTAAAGTCATCATTTCGTAAGATCTATGGTCGATACAATCACCTTGTCAGAAAATACAATTTATCATTGAGTTAAATGCTGACTGACGTTTTCCATACTATTTGTTAGTCCATTATTTACACCGAATTGACAACGGATTTTTCCGTTCTTACCTGATCATGACAAGGACCACACGGCGGGTGTGACCGGTCAGCAGGGGATGCTCACTCCACCATGGCACCTAAATACGGAGTATATATATCTCAGTTGATTCGATACGCAAGAGTATGCTCTATGTAAGAACAATTTCTAAAACGAGGTAAATTATTGACAAGCAAGTTGATGAAACAAGTATATCAGCAAACTCGTTTAAAGTCATCATTTCGTAAGTTCTATGGTCAAATGCTGACTGACGTTTTTCATACTATTTGTTAGTCCATTATTTACACTGAATTGACAACGGATTTCCGTTCTAACCTGATCATGACAAGGAGCGGGTGTGACCGGTCAGCAGGGGGTGCTCACACAGCAGGGGGTGCTCCATGGCACCTGATCCCACCTCTGAAGTTTCGGAGGTCCGTGTTTGCTCTGCTCCTATTTTGTATCGTTTTATGGACTTTGAGATTGAAGACTGTTCGTTATCTCCATATCCTTCTTGGTATACAACTATAATCCAAACTTTAGACATATTAATGTTTTGAAAAGGTCTCTCCATAAAACTTTAAATAGAAGCTAAGCATGTCACCTCACTGAGGAAACATGTTGCATACCATTTCTGGTCTTAGATAAAATTTTCAAAATATTCTTCTTGCACTGACAGAAAACTGTGTTCTTTCTTTCAAAAAAGGTATAGTTAATTTTCTTGAGTTGGAAAAAAAGTCATTTGATTTTGATTATATCACGTCGTCGGTTATGAACTGATTAAATGATATTATTCCATGTTTACCCCTTTATCCCGTGGATATGACTCATTGGATATTTTTGTCATATCCCACAGTTGTGACGTCACAATGGGATTTGCGTTAGAGTGATTAAGTAAAATGAAGTGGAGTCCTATATAAAAATAGTTTAAAACATTGATCGTGGTGTATTAAACATGGGATAAAAAGAATCTAACATGTTTTGTAGACTCGGGGATATAAAACACACAATTCGTTGGAAAAGAATCATATCCAACCACAAATTATGTGAGATCCTATATTTATTGTAACATTCACCTGTACAGGTATCCTTTCTGCCTTCTACACCCTCCACTCTTCCCGTCATTTCTAATCTAAATATAGCGTGGCTTCTTGAGGATCTCTCATTTCTCTCTGTTTTTGCCGAAGTTCTATTCTTGGAACATTTCTCGTAAAATTTCAATACCTAAGGAAAATTAGAATTATGCATTTTGGAATATGATATTCATTAAATGTTTAAGACTAACAAATAGGATATAATGCTTTTCCTTCTAAAATTAACCCAATATATTCTGTCTAGATTGTTTTTATTACAGACCTCTTGTTCGTTAAAAACGTCTTTTTCAGTGAGATTTGCGACCTCTGCTTTACCCTTATCTCCATCTGGATACCTGATAGGATGGTCCTCATTATCCGTGACCCCTTTTGATAGGTCACGAATTCTTTCATTGTAGAGTTCCATATAGGATGCTTTTAAATGATACTGAAAATATATCTTATTGTTTTATTGAAATGTCCGAAAACCAGAAAAAAGCTTTATTAAAGTTTCCCAAGATTTTGAAATATTTTTGAAATATTCATTTTAGTGTATTCATATAGATTTCATTAAATATTCAACAACAGTGCCTTACAGTATGCATTCATTTTGTAATTTAACATTTCGGTATGTCTTATGTTAATATTTTCATACAGTATTTACTTCATACTTTTGCAGTTCCCATAAGTAGTTCATTATAAAGAGTCAAGGAATTAAAAAGAATAAAAAATATACACATGTGTATAATGTGTTCTATCAATCAGAATGTAAAACTTAAATTCCAACCTTCCAACCACAAACTTTCAGTTCCTCAATTGCTTGAAACACTTGTTTCATTGCTCTAGGTATTATTCCCAGACTTTCATGTTCTGTTGTTTTATTCCAGTTCGATCCCTCCATTGTGTATGTTTTACCAGACCCTGTTTGTCCATACGCAAATATACATAAATTGTATCCATCAAGAAAACTCTGTAAGATATCAACAACAGATAAAATTAAAAAAAAAAAATAAAAAAAATATAGATAACGAACAGTTTACAAGATCAAAAGTCTATAAAACAATTGCAAAAAAGGAGCACAGCAAACATGGACCTCCGAAACATCAGAGGTGGGATCACTTGCCATGGAGGAGTGAGAATTTCCTGCTCATTATTCTCTCATAATGCTTTAAAGTTAAAATTTTTACGAGGCCTTTTTTCTAAATATTACCCTGATTAACTCTTGTATTTCGCTATAAACGTCCTCCTGTTTGCTATCTTCTCCAAAAACTCTTTCAAAAGTGTACTTTTTCTAAAGAAAAAAAACAAAAAAACAAAATAACCCCATAAAAATAAAAACTGAATTTAGGACACAAAGAACGCAACAAGGAGTAAAAGTAAAAAGACACTCTTAATTTATTACTTGAAATCAAAAAGTATTTTAATTTCTTGAAGTATAATCAAAATTGCCTAAAAAATCAAATAACATGACCATGACTAAAATTCACACTGAAGACTACAAAAGTTTGCTAAAATCAGGTGGCTATTTTTAATGTGACAATTCCGGAATAATTTTAGTTTATTGTTATATCAACTTTACAGTGAAAAAATACTATATCATTACCTCAGTTTTGATAAGTTTAACAGCCTTGCTGTCCGAAGATATACACTTTGGGCCATCACATTCTCTTAGTCGACAAAGTACTCGAATATTTCCCTACAACAAAATTATCTTCATAGATATTCATAATTCAAAACTTGCATGTGCATACTGTACTGTACATGCTAATTACATTATTAAGTCACTTACATATAAACGCAATATATCTTTTTTTTAAATTCGTGATCTCTCTTTTTCATACCTTTGCCTCCTGTAATTTGTTATTAAGTTGTTTGCATTCCTGATTTTTCTCAATCACCTTCTTCATTAAAGTTATCTTGTCCTCCTCCTGTATTTCTTTCTGTTGTTGTAACTTTTTAATTTCTCTTAGCATTTCCTCTAATTGAGTATCATCTGTACAAATGTATAGACTTATAAATAAGTTCTAATAATTATAGTTCTATAATACATTCTTACCTTCATTGAACTGATTTTCCCAGTTTGGTGTTTGTGAATTTTAATTTAATTCATTTAAATTAAGTTTATGGCAAGAGAATATGCACGACGTATAAATAATAAAATAGATATCAAGAAGTATTGTATCCTTACATTGCCTCTTTAATTCTTCAATCTCTGTATTATGTATCCCCTCTTTTTCGTTTCCCAAATCGTCTTGATTTTCTACAGCATATATATTTCAATGATGCAATTTTACAAACGAAAGATAAAAGAAAGTTCAATATCCAAACAAGTCTTCTTTTTAGCTTTCCACCAGAAAACGTGTTTTAATTACCTAACAATTGCTCTGTTTCTCCCATGTTATTTGCATTTTCATGACTTTCTGAAAAGCAAGTACATGTAAATATATTATGATCAGCTAATTTATTGGAAAGGTTCTAAAAGCTAATGAAAGTGGTCCTTGTTCGAGATCCAGTCCTAGAAATACATTTAGACATGTACAAAAAGTAAGTTTTTCGGTAAAATAATATAAATGACATAATTTTCAATCAAACTAAAACAAATTGACGATGTTTATTTTGATTAGTGATCCAATTTATTGAACTTGTCGTTTCAAAGATAATGGCCATAATAAAAAAAAAATATCCGAATGTTTCTTTCTGCACGATGCATTGCACGATATCTCAAGCTACATAAAATATCCTTTTATTTGGTGAAGTGAAAACTAAATTTCTACTGAGAAAAAAAATTTAAGACATAAGAAGACAAATTTTAAAAATGAAAATATGATGTAAATTCTTTTTTAAGTAGCTGAAACTAATTTTCTATCAAATTGAAAAATTGAATTTCTAGTAATATCTTACTTCATAAAAGCCAGAATATAAATTCATTTCAACATGATTTATTGCGTAGCTATTTCACTGTAATACATGTATCAAGCCCACTCACTTTCTTTGGTCTGTGAGGGTCTATTCCTTTTTCTCCATACTACAATGCCTATGCCTATTCCAAGAATGATGAGCATAATAACGATAAGAATAATTACAGGCAGAATAATCGGTAAAACAGAACTATCACCAGTGTCAACAGATATATTTCTGAAAAACAGAATAAAGATATAGTTTAAAATACTTTCATGCTCAAAGAAAATAAAATCTTTTGTAAAAAAAAATATCGAAAATTGTAACTGTGCTCAAATTAAATATTTTTTTTTTATTAATTATTATAACCTACTTAAATAATTTGAATATAGGGATGTCAAAATTGTCAATAATTGATATAAAAACGAATATATTCACAAAGATAATTATAAAATAACTATTATTTTGGAATAAAATACTGAAAGTTTTGTTGATAGTTAAAAAATATTTTACAGAATATATGAAGATTTTACATCCAAAATGTAATAATTTTTTTTTTGAAAATTCAAAAGACTGATTAATTAATGCTCAAAAATTAATTTATATTATTTTTTTTATTAATTATTATAAGCAAGCATAATGAATGTCCTTAAATAATTTGAATATGTTCCTGCGTATCGAATCAAATGAGAGATATAAACTCCGTATGCAGGTGATGAAGGTATGTTGCTGCATAAGTCAGGGTGGTTGACGATAAAAATGTTAAAGTCATCATGTTTATCATATAGCTTGGTTGTTAGATTACCATTAACGTCTTTTTCAAGTAAAATATCCAAGTATGAAACAGATGTGTCAGACTCTGTGGTATCTTTTATCTCAAGCTCAACAGGATATATTGTATCGACGTAAGAATGGAAGTAACCATTGTTCATCAACAATACGTCGTCAATATATCTCAATATCGAGTTGAAGGCCACAGCAAGTGTTTTCTTCTTTTCATGTATAAGATTTTGCTCATATTTTGCTTTCTATGAAAGTAAAATAGGTCTGCTAATAAATGGGCACAGTTGATATCCATGAAAATTCCAAATGATTGTTGGAAGGACTTGGTCTCCAAAAACCACATACATAATGTCTATTTGAAACTCAGCATCTTTTCGATGTCAACTTCAGAGTACTTGTGTGTACAATCAGTATGCTTTTTAACAAAATAATTTTGAAAGTAACTAACAAAAAGGTAATTGAATTAAAATTTTATGATTTCCTTTTTTTATTTATTGAAAAAGTAGCTCTAAAGATGAATTAATCCTTAATAGAATAACTTTAAAAAGGATGAATTTGTTCTTGTTATTTATGCATACATGCTTTCAAAAGATCCGACTATGGAATTGCTCGACATGGTTGTAGGACTAGGATTGGGAGCGACAGTTACATATACCTTAGTAAGATCGTAACATACAGGATCTGCAGAATTAAAAAGAATAACTTTAATATGTTCATAGACTATATAGATATATTGACATTTTCAAAGCTATATTTCCTAAAAGAAAATATTTTCCTCTGTGTCATTTTTTTTAGAATCACAACAAAGCCTACAAAACAGGAAATGCAGGAAGATTAGTACTGCTAGAGGAGGATCACTTACACTTAAATGCCTCAGTCGAATGATATCGTGTTGGACAGGGAATGGTAAATTTAGAACAATCTGCAGCAAATAGGTTACGTATTCGTTTCTCATCAACATTGAAATATGCACAGAAACCTACAAAAACCCATTTCAGATATTAAATACATCATTTAGATAGAAAGAAGTATAGATCTCATTAAAACAAGATGGAAGAGTTCTTCATTGAATGTATTAAAGAAATATAAAAAACAAGATTGAAAAGTATTCTGGGCAATGAACTTGTTTGGTCACATGATCAGTTCCTGAGAATCGTCTCTGTAATCATTATCACCGAGCTCCTTTCCATGTGAATATTTTAAGCCTTGATTTTTAAATTATTTTTTACATTTGAGAAAAATATGGTAATAGCAACATGACACAAACGGTCGGAAGTATAACAATGTTCCGTTGTGTTTTTTATTAAACATACACACCTACTTTTTTCTATGGAAAGTATTATTTTTAAAGCAACCTTCCTCTTTTTAATTGCAGTTTGGCCATCTCTTCCCAAGGCAATACATGAAGTTATCAAATGTAAGTCGTTTGATATTTTTTTGTTTATCTGCCCCTTTTTGAAAATGAAACTACCGTAACAACAACTGTTTTAACATTAAAGAAACAATGAGATGAAGTTTCCTCAGAAGCCCAAATTGTGGTCTGTTTCAATAAGAGTAAAATTCCTTTAAGGAATGTAGGATTCAATTCTCTAGATTTATACAAGGGAACAACTTTCGATGAAATAGGTAAAGAAAATTGTTACTTGTCTTATGTACACTCTGCTCTTAATTACCTTGCATGAATATCGGTACAGCGCAGACTTCTATGGTAGCATCCATTTCCTTGGTAATGAGGCAGTGATACCTTGATGTTGGACAGACGGAGTCACATTTCTTACGTATAGCTGCTACATTCCACTCCGCCTCAGAACGAGGGCAATCCGAAACAATAGTAATTGTTTTTTGTAAATCAGTACACGAAAACTCTGTCCTAAATACCTAGCAAGTAAACGTTGATGTAAACATCAATTGTCGCCCGGGAAATATATCATTATATGAAGTAAACAATGGAAGTGAGTCTTGATCATCAAACCGCTTTGATATGTGTGAAAAGACATGCGTCTAATTGATGGCGACGATAGTTGCGAATATTTTGAAAACTTATAGTCGAATAAAAATCAAACAAAAACGATATAATTTTAAACTTGATCAATTCCTCATGTAAATGTTGGCTGCATAATATATAAATTGAAGTTACATGTAGACACATGCATCACCTATATTCAAAAATATATTAATTTTCAATTTTAGAATATAAAACATGAACTAGTACGTTTTTGTTCGAGAAGTAAAATTCGATTTTCTAAAAAAGAAAAAAAGGGATCTGTCGTTTTTCGATAGTAAATGATAAGCAACTTTATATATTAAATATGTAAAACATAATTATTTATTTTTACATATTCACTTAATATGGAAATAAATATTTTATGCCTCTCGTAATTTAGAAAGGGAAAGAACATTCTGATTAACAATCTTTTCAATGTTTAGAAAACCTTTAATTCTGAATACCTTCTCCCACCCCAATCACCATACACCCAACACTTAAACTTATACATGTATGTATAGAGCAGCCAGGTCCCCCGGGCTGCAATAATGGAAGAGGTACGTCAAAAATATAACCAATATACTATAATGTAAAAAAAATCTCTTGTTGAAATTCAGTGAATAAAATATCTTTGAAATTAAAAATAATCTCTCAATTCTTAAGCTACTTACTTGACAAAATATGATGATAAATAGAAAGGTTGGTTTCTCCATTCTAGTACCAGTTGAAATCTAAAAGATTATTACTTTTCATTGTTTAATATTGTAAAGCCTTTCTTACTCCTCCACCTTTCTTAAACTAGAGCTACATTAGTGTTGATTTTCTACAAGTATTAAACTCTTGTTCTCAACAAGATGATGGTAAAATTATTTCGAATATTATCTCTTACAGACATGTTAGTTAAATCTTTACAACAGTAGTGAAATAAAAAAAAAAACAAATAAAAAATTATTGCATGAACTTAATCTTTTTTTGATAAACATATGTAGTGCTGATTTTCGATAAATTGAGGAGAGCTGGTCGGTTAAGCTATAAAGCTACATCTAGCATGATACCATCGACCAGATCTAGAATCTTGACCGAATTTCGTTGCATCTTCAAATAAAATATCTTTAATGCAACCACCGTTCAAGTGATTTTTATAGGAATATTATCACATTTTTGTTTTGTAACAATAAGGTGAATGGAGGTTCACAGTATCATAATCATTATGTCTGCCAGCAAATTTAATAATATGTTATTTTTTTATGGATTACATTTTTCGTCATTTGAATAAATGAGAAGTGTTTTATACTTAACATGTTTTCTGTTATGCATTTCGGTTGTTGCCTTGGACTACAGTAATATATCAACAGAAGTATATTTGCTAAGAATGCTAAAAATAAACCATATTTTAAATTGATTTTTAGATTTACTATGGAAAATTATTTCCTCAATTTGAAATATCCTCCAATGTGTTGATTTTCATTTATTTAATTAAAATGCATAAGAGGCAACGTCTATGATTACTTACTTGCAAATTTAATCATTACAACATCGCAGAACATTGTCAACACCAAAACCGAAAGTAGAGGTAAATCATTTTTTGCCTGTCCGTTAGTTTGTATCCACAAAACTTTATTGTATACCAATGATGTTTACACTGTTATATATATGACTCAATATTAGTTAACTTCATTACTTTCATTATCTCCATGTAGTTCATGTAAAACAAATAACGAAGTCAAAGCAGTGGAATTTGAAATTATCATCCAATCAGTGATAACTACACGATAAAGGAATAAAGATATGATAAGACTTGTTTGCCACCTTCGTTTTTTACCTAATTACCTTGCCTGTGGTAATGGGCGTACCTTAATTTAAACTTTTTCCGGATGACCACTTTTGAACGGTTGGCTCTAATGAAAACATAAAAAATATACTAAACCATACAATCAATAATTCCAGTAAAAATATATTAAATTTTTTAAGGTAAATGATGTTCTATCACGGCTTTTCTTTACTCCTTATCTTAATATTAAAGCTATATTCTAGAATTTACAGTGTTTACTATTTTTTGGATATTTTAAATTCATTATTTTACATAGACAGGTGCTTTTTTCAATAAAAATGGATTCGTTAATGTATAATGCCCAGTGACAAAGCATAATACAAATCAAAGGCGGATCCAGGTCCGGAGCGCCGGGCGTGAGCCCCCCCCCCCGCGTTTGAATTTTTTGTAAATAGAATTTATATGTCCATTATTCTAAAATCAAGGAAAAACATCTAATATTTGTAAGAATTTGTCAGCTTCCGGACCTTCACTAGGGCTTTGCCCTAAACCCACTGAGGGCGTCGGTGAAGTCTCCCCGGACTCCGTGCCTTCTATTCCCCCTTCCAAAATTCCTGGATCCGCCACTGCAATTGTTCTGATTATACACATGTACATAGTGTGTTATTTGAAGTTTATATCAGAAAAGGTCGTTGAGTATCGGAAAACTGTATGAAAAGAAGAAAAAAATTACTGTGGCTTTCAAATCGACTACATATTAACGGTGTG